TCTTTTAACCCCTGCTGAAAGTGGGCAGCCCACTGGCAACACCACAAGCAGAACACGCCAGCCAGGCAATGACTCAGTGAAGCACCAGGGAATGCCAATGAAGCAGCCCAAGCACGCAGTGCCACAGCTAACACGTGGAAGGACAGCGGAAGCTGATCAGCAGCAAGGCAACAACACAGCGAAGTGCAATGCAGCACTGCACAAGCGCCAAGTGGCCAAACTACATGCTACACAAGCAAAAGGATAGGCAGCAAAGCACAAAGCAACGCCGACAAGGAAACCAAACGACATGGCAAGCAGACAAGCTGCAGGGAAAGGCATTCTGGGATGCATCAGTGTGGTTCCTCTTCCACCGGCAAGTCCAAATGGTACATAATACACACTCAGTGACTCAGATTAGTGTACTTCTGTGGTTGAAGAGGGTGGTCTCTCTCCCTGTCTGTTGTGTTGTGGAAGTAGTGGATGATGGGTGGGGAGCTCTGACATTTACCGGCTGATGAAATTCCTGATTGCTTAGAAGTTAAAAGTCCTTCGTCATTTAGTAGCTGGTCATGAACAAGAAAAGCCCTAGTCAGAGAAGATTAGCATGGCCCCTGTCCAAAAAACAAAAAAAAAAACAAGGAAACCACCCTTCCCTTCTGGGCGACTTTGTGTCCGTATCCACTCCCAAGAGTCACATCCCAGTTCTGAGATGCTTCTGTCCAGTCGAAAGCTAACCCAAGGTTTGTGAGGGGTGACTCTGACTTTCCTCAGAATCACACCTCACAGGAAAGCCAAGAGTCACCCCTCACAAACCTTTGGTTATCTTTCAATTGTGAGGGGTGACTCTGAACTTCAGGGTTCGAGTTCAGGATGTGTGCTCCCCGGTGTGATTGGATTCCTATGTAGGAAAGGGAATGAACGTCAATTGGTAACTGTATGCTGAGACTCTCTTTTCAAAGCGTATGCACTGTCAGGGTGGGTCTGTGATACGAGAACCCCCCAATCTCCCGGTTTGGTGAAAAGTCTTCCTTCAGCAGCTCGATGCCAAGCTTGAGGGATGCTCTTCGGGTATGGCCACTAAGTTGTCAGCCAAGAAATGGCAGCCTCTGAATCGAGTTCTGAACGCCTGTACGGTTTCGCAATCCTTTTTTTTTTTTTTTTTTTTTTCAAAACCCTACCAGTGTTAGTGTTGCTGGTAAGAGCAAACACCACTAACACCAGGGTAGAGACTCCATCTATTGGTGGGGAGCGTCACCTGCTGGAAACCGGGTTCAGCGTCCCATTTACATAGCCTTTGTCTCTTTATAAAGATATGTGAAGATAAAGACTGCCTCTTCAGCCAAACCAGGCCGCCAGATACAACTATTAGACCTAGCAGAAAATATATTCTGGGAAAAAAATTAACGAACAGCCCGACAATGGAGACAAGCTTTCCCTGAGATTGCATCAGAATGCTAGAAGCCTCAGAGATCCAATAAATATTGCGTTCAGATTTCATTGAGGATACCACTGCAAATCCACCATTGCTAATTCCGATGGGGGGAAGGGGTCAGGAAAACATTCCGGAGATCTGAGTGTAGCTCCTGGAGGAAGCGAAAACCGGTCTTTGAAGCACAGGAAGAAGTCTTGCTTTAGCGTTTCCCCCTGTTCTTCCTTCCCCGGCCATTTCACTTCTCCCAAGCACCCTCCTTCATTTCCTCCCAGCCAATCTTGATTGAATTTTTGAATACAGTTGATTATATCTTTTTTTTGATGAAGCTGTTGTATCTTAGATCGCACTACACGGTTTCGCAATCCTTATGCTCTTCCGACCATATATGTTGGACCTTCCATACACCCTTCTTGACCCATGAGAGCCACCTGCGGTCAGATGGGGTTATTGATGAGGATGTGGTGAGGGACCAGGTGTCCCGCTCAAGTAGTTCGTGATCCATGGGTTGCAGAAATGGGGTTGTCTCAATACCTTCTCGTTATTCTCCATGGAGTCCATGTTTGTGTGGGAGCCTCCTACAGGACCTACACGAGGCCAGAAGGATGGACTCCCTGTAAGAGGGGGGGGGGGGGGGAGCGGGGTGTCGCCATGGAATTATCGCCTTTCTCTCCTGTTTCTGCCTGTTTTGACTGCCCCAGCCTTTGGCATCACCCAAAAGGTTCCGTCCATGTTGTCGGGAGTCCTGACAGGGGTAAGTTGGTGAATACTATTCAATGTCATTCGCACCATGACAGGTGGTGGTGGTCCAGGAGGACTTGATCACCCATTTCATTTGCAGCGCTGTGGTCTCTTGTTTGGGGTCTATGAGGCCTGCGGTTTCCTTTGTGCATGCATCAGCCCGGTTCCTTATTTTTCTTGAAAACGGGTGACGGCCTTGAGATATCATCAACAAGTGTAGGAATTGTGGTTTTTGGTAGTGATGCTGCCGTTAAAGAAGGAGATATTGTCAAACGTACTGGATCTATTGTAGATGTTCCTGTAGGAAGATCTATGTTGGGTCGTGTTGTTGATGCGTTAGGAGTACCTATTGATGGAAAAAGGTGCTTTAGGCGCTGTAGAGCAAAGACGTGTAGAAGTCAAAGCTCCGGGAATTGTTTCACGCAAATCTGTGCATGAACCAATGCAAACAGGATTAAAAGCGGTGGATAGCCTTGTTCCAATAGGTCGTGGTCAAGGATAACTTATTATTGGAGATAGACAAATAGGTTGACTATCGCGTCTCGAAGCTTCAAAAGCTTTCAAGCGAGGTACCGTCAGTAATTGTTTGATCGGGGCCCGGAGTCTCCTTTTGTGATAATTTATATGCAATTATCCAGATTCCAATGTTTCGCAGAAAACCTCCAAGATCATAGTAAACCCGAACGATTTTTTTTGTATCTGTGAATCCAAAGGCCATAACCAGCCCCAGGTAATTCAGAATTATTCCATTGCATACATCCAGGCCCATCAGGATTCGAACTCCAGTCTGTATTTCAAAAATTTTCAACAGCTCACGGGTGTACCAACTGAGCTTGGATCATTTGTACATCAGTCCGGTTCCTATTTCCCCAGCAAGTCAGAGAGCTCGGCAGGGAATAAGACAGTGTTAGAGAATTTTATAGGGTTTTGTTAGGGATTCCAGGGGTTCTGAGCATTCAAAGGACTTCTGTGGTTTTCCTTTTTGACTTAGTAATTGCTGCTTGAGTAGCCTAGCAAAAGGTCAGCAGTTATCCTTTAGTAGTTTTTTCTAAATTTTCCTGAACTCCTTTTTTTTTTTTTTTTTTTTTTCTTTGTAATACAACCCGAGCGGTTGCTGGGGTGCTGATAGGAGCAGACACCACCAGCACCTTCGGGGAGGCTCCATTTATTGGTGGGGAGCAGCGCCTGCTGGAAATCGGGCCCAGCGTCCCTGTAATGTACAATGTGATGAATGAGATGAATGAAAACATGCAAGCAAGAGTTGTCAATATGCATGAGGGGTCGGGGCGGTAAAGAGCCCGAACTCCTTTAATAGTTCTCAGATTGTTCTTAGCCGAAGCCAGGTAATGGCCCTGGTATTTCAAATGACTTGTATAATTCTATATGGGACACTGGGCCCGGTTCCTAGCACGTGCTGCTCCCCACAAATAGACTGGAGCATTTGTCCCCCCCCCCACAAAAAAAAAACAAAAAAAAACCAAAGGGTTTGTACACTCACGTTGCTTCCGACATTACGGTCCAGGAGACCGTGACAACATTGATTATTTCCTTCGGAAGGATGGAAGGGACTACCGTTTGATTTTTAAAGAATGGACCAAAGTTGACGTGTCCATCCCCTTAAAACCCCTGGAGAATTCCCCGATTTCTCCCCCCCCCCCTCTAACAGCCTGGTAGAAATGCAGTGGTTCGGAGGATGAATGGGTTCGCAGGCGACAGTTCTCAGGAGCTGGCGGGGGGTAGAGGAGCTAGTAAATAGCAACAATTATCTGGCGCCGTGCATGAGATGAAGAGGTTCCCTGCCCCGACACCCTGCCCAGTCAATCCCACAACCTGTGTGTCTCCTGATAGGCTCTCCCCTGAGGAGCACTGCTTAGCCAATCCCCTGGTATCCAGGGTAATCAATGCTAGCAGGACTTGTCTTTTTATTCCTCTGAGTGCTCTCTGATCACATTGTATTACATTGTATATGAGACGCTGGACCCGTTTTCCAGCAGGTGATGCTCCCCACCAATAGATGGAGCCTTTCCCCGAGTGGTAATGGTGTCTGCTCTTATCAGCACCACTATCACTGGCGCAAATGCTTAAAAAAAAAAAAAGGAAAAAAAAAAAGGATGGACTGTCAGTTTGACCCACACAAAAGATCAGACCCTTTCCCCTAGCAGAAGGATTATCCTCCCAAGAAAACACTCGCAAAAAAATCCTTCAAGTGCCTTGCAGGCACTTAAATGCAGAGTGTCGGATCTCTCGCTGTGCCCTAGGGGCCTAGGACAAGTAGAGGCATTCAGGGATGGTGCGTTGTAGCTGCCTGCCTCCTTTGGTGCTTGCACTACTTTGATTCTTGGCTGATGATTTGACTTTTGAAACAACGAGCCTGAAATCCGTCGAAGGATTCCTTCTCAATGTACTGCTGTAAATTGCCAGATCAAAAACTTATAAATCTAGGACTGCTAAAAAAAAAGAAAAGAAAAAAAACTACGATTGCTCTGGTTAGAACCTGCTGATGCCAAGCTTTGCCTTCTTTGACTGGTGTGTGTTGACAGCCAGCTGCTATATCATCAGGCCTCAAAAAAAAAAAAAAAAAAAAAAAAAGCAGAACCTTCTGGTTCTGGCTCCATATCTGTTCCACGGAGAATCAGTTCATTTCCTATGCCACCGGCACGTCGAGGGCGAAATTTGCAAATACATCATGAGGCTTGCTTTCTTGTTTGACTGTTTGTCTCCTCCTTGCCTAGTTCCTTAAAAAGTTTCCTTGTATTTACATATGCTGTCCCATCCTTTTGCGAAGTTTCTTTCCTTCCTTCCGCCTAAGTTTCTTTCCTCCTTTCTTGTTTACGCTTGTGCCATCCAGGAAGGCGCATTGATAGCGAAGTGGTTGCGCATGTAGAGGACAGAAACCGCTTCCGTCTTCCTTCCTCCCCGACAAGGATGAATGTCAGCACTTTCTTACCTTCTTCTGCAATGGACAACGACGCTCAGCTACGGGGTGCAGCTGTGTGATGGAATGGAGCAAGGCCACACTTGGTTTGATTCTACTCAAAGAGGCTAAAGATGAGACTCAATCTTCTTCGAAAAGGAACTTCGATCTCACAGGGGGCTAAGCCTTGAGCTTCGATCCTTCAAACTCATCAATAGGAATACGCAGATGTATTATTCAACCAAATAGGCAGCGTACGACATGAAAGGTTGTTTCTGTTCTGGGATTGAACTTTGATCCTCCGGAACGAACTCCTCAATAGGAACATGCAGATGTACCATTCGACCAAATAGGCAGCACACGACTTGAAAGGTGGTTTCGGTTTTCCACGGAGTAAGGAGTCTGGACAGCCCGCATCCACATGATGATTTGTGCAGGAGGCACATCCTCTCGCGTACAATGCAGTGCAAGCTATCAGCAGCTCTATTTTAACCGTCGTCATGGTCTTCATCGTCATCGCTTTTATATTTTCTTGGCATCATCCGGACAATACACATGGCGGTTGGATAGGACTCCAATCCATTCATGACATGAGTTCCAACTAGCAGTTCCAACCGGAACTTATGACATGAGTTCCCGTTTCCTTGAGTCAGCATGACATGGGGCCTCGCTCTACTACTCTAGACTCCCCGAAGTTTCGAGAGTAACGCCTTGCTCCACTTACTCTAGACTGGAACTCATGACAACTGGCACCCTTCAACAGCTGTCAGAAAGTGCTCTCGAAGGGCACTCTGGATTTGTATAGAGTTCACAGCCTGCAACGCTCACGTTTTCTAGCGTCCTCCCTCCTACCTCCGCTCAGGCCTCTTTTTTTTGTGAGTGGGGCATTTGTGAGTGGGGCATTTGTGAGTGTGCCTCCTGCCCCGACCATCAGATCGAGCTGGCGCTGTCATCTAGCGCTGTAGAAGGGCTGTCATGTGTCGCTGAGAAATTCGGGAGTGCTTCTATAGTTCTTGAGTCTGGAGTAAGTGGAGCGATGCTTCCTTTTTCAAGAGTTCTAGACCTCTGACAGCTCTAGAAGCACTCACGCTTTTTTTCGTGAGTCTAGTGTAGTGGAGCAAGACCCATGGGTTTGAACCGGCAGTGCATTCAAATCCATGGCAGGAGTGTACAGTCAAACCAGCCTCAAAATCCGGTGTGAATAGGTTGCACAGTGTAAATTACAATTGAGTCTTTGTTTGTGAATTAGCCTTGCTTTGTGTGAAAGGTTACTAAAAGAGTAAAAAAGTGTAGTAATTGTGATTTGGTCTGTCAGAAATCGGTGGGTGTACGATTAGTCGGAGAGGTGATGTCCATTGTCTTGCTCCCTTGTCAGCTATCTAGCCCTGCCCATGGCATTCACATGTTTCTCTATCTTCCAATTCTATGTTCTGTTTGGCACTGGACAGAGGATTCAGGCTGCCTGCCTACAAGGACCCCGTGTAGATGAAGTCGATACTGGAAGCCGATCAGGGTATCGTGCAGGCATCTATGGGTTGATACTACTACAGTCTTTGCTAGTGCTCACCACATGCAGTGTTTGTTTCATTAGTAATTGTAGAAGCTAAAGGCATGGAGAGGAAGTAGGTAGGACAAACAGTTGCTCCTGCGGAGTATGGTGTCTACGAGGTTCCCTGCAGGTGAAAGCGCGACTGGTCGAGCTTCAGTTGGCAGTTACCGGCAAGATGAAACCTCGCTCCGATAAGTATGTTAAACAACCAGTACATGCCATACGTCGGCCGTGGGCCGCTGTCGGAGGGCCGAAACGCGATGCTGGCCGCCGATGTATTTTATCGACAGCCCGCGGGCTGCGACTTTTTCGGAGTAGGAGACAAACAAGTCTCCACAAGGTTTGGGCCATGTACTAGTGGTTTAAGAGAACAGTGAACTGCGGTCGTCATTGTGGACGCCAAGTGGTGACCCTAACATTCCCATGTTGCGACCAGCAGTGATGAATCTATGATGAGTTGTTGAACGTCCTTCGACCCAGGGGTTGACGTGGCACTTTCAAGAGTATTGGTCTTCTCGTTCTTAAAGTAGTACAGAAATCGAAAAATGACCTGATGGGTGTGTCCTATTCCCAGTTGGCAGTGGTGTCCATACGAATGTCAATGTAACAAATTTCATCGTATTTGAAGTTTGAGCTTGCGATATTTTGCAGTTTTGAAAATCTGCCTTTTCAAAAATGGTTTGATGAGGCCAAGAACCTTCACGACAAACTCCAGAGTTGGAGAGTCCACAAGTAAAAGGCTTCGAAAGGCCTAATTCCGTGATGACAGTGATGTAAGTCCTTCAACGCAGCTGGCGCTTCATCGTTTTTTTCTTTTCAAGTAGATGCTCTCTGCAGGCAATGCCCATGGCAGGGGGAATGGGAAAGTGGGGGGCAGGAGATACCAGCGTACTGAGATGTCGCAGTTGGTGAGGTCATTCATCAATGGAGAGAGAGAGAGAGAGAGAGAGAGAGAGAGAGAGAGAGAGAGAGAGAGAGAGAGAGAGAGAGAGAGAGAGAGAGAGAGAGGTGAAATGAGATGGGACATCAATCATTATCACAACGGATATCATGGTCGTCATGCGATCCTTTCTTTTTTTTCCCCCTTTTCTTGATCTTCCCCATCATCCCCATTCTCCTGTCAGTCCTCATCAGCCTCATCTCATTTTCTCTGGAATTTGATCCTCTGGATCCATTAAAATAAAAATAAAAAGAAAATCCCATGATGCTACACACACACACACACACACACACACACACACACACACACACACACACACACACAGAGTCATTGCCCTCATCATGTTGTTCTCCTGGATTATCGACAACTAACATTTAGTTAAAATTGAGATATTTTTTAATTGCACGAAATTGAAATTTACTTCTTAGGTTCATTTCATGGCTCTCAAACAACGTCCCCCGAACGCACTTTGCGCTCTTTCTCTCTCTCTCTCTCCGTCTCTGTTGCTGTTGTTGGAAGGATAATGCACAATTGTGTGCACTCCTATCTTGGGTACTTTTACGATCTCTGTGAGATGTAATCCTACTTTTGTGTGAAGTATTTACAAGTCATTGAAGTTCTCTCTCTTTTCTCTGTCTCTCTGTGACCCCTCCCCAGATGGAGAGAGAGTGACGGAATACTTCCAGCAGATGGTATTTCCTCCCCTGCAAATACCCCCCAAAAGTAAATTTCCATCTCGTGCAATTAAGAAAATATCTCAAATATAACTAGATGGCAATTCAACCTTCTTGTGTGTGAAGGCCGTCCATGTCACATCATAGACTCGTTCCCCCCATGTCGTGTGTAGCTCGTCACCTTCCTGTGCATATGATCAGCGGAGTTTTAGAGGGGGAGAATGACAGACAGATGGACAATGAAATGTTACTGCTTCATCCATCCACCATTGCCAGCAATGGTTTCCTCTCCTTGCTTGCTCGGTTGCTCTGCGTCGCAAACCTGTGTGTGTACTGCTGTGTCTCTTTCTTCGTTCCTCCACATGCCTGTATGTTTGTTTGTTGATGTGCGTGTGTGTCTGTGCTGAGCTATGCATGCGCCCTCTTTTTGATTATTCTGCCTGCGGACGACCTGTCACGACCATGCCTTGTCCTGGTACGACCCCATCGCTGTTCAGCGGGTCATGTGACTCATGTCCATGTTGTTCACTCTGGGCAGCGTGTTTGAAATATGTTCAACCGCCACTGGCTTCCCTCCTTGCCATCGGCTCTCCTCCCTTCTGTCTGCTCCCGTTCTCGATCCCTTTCCTTTGCTCCCTGCTCCTGCATCCTGTCCTGCTCGTCTTCCAATCGCACCCCTTCCGTGCCACTTGCCTGCTCCTCCTCTTCGCTTCTTTGCATGGTCACCCGCTTCCTCTTCACTCCACTTCCCGCCCGTCCTTACGTTCTCTCTCTCTCTCTCTCTCTCTCTCTCTCTCTCTCTCTCTCTCTCTCTCTCTCTCTCTCTCTCTCTCTCTCTCTCTCTCTCTCTTGGTTGGATAATACTTGCCACATGCGTAGCCTCGTGCATTCGAATGTTCCACTAGCTGATGAACAGATAGAAGGAGAGCAATTGAGAAGATAATCATTGAACAGCGGCAAATTGCACGTCTTCAATCCATCCAACAACTCGTGAAAAAATCCATAAACATGGCACATCAGTGCTAGTCACCACCTTCGAACCAGCGGCTTCCCCCTACGCCGCGTTTCGATCGGTTGCCAACCGATAATCTTCAGGGGGGTCCCCTGAATCTCAACCAAAGGACTCGTTCCTGCTTAACTGTTAGTTGAATGGCTGTCTGGGCGAATCTATCGAGCCGCATCTAGCCACGGCCTAATATCTCCCTTATTCAGCTTTCGATCTTTTTTAAATAATTCCCTGATATCCCAACATATCTACTGGTTCACCGTTTATTTCTGCGCACTGTCCTGTCTCGCATCCTACCCTCCGGCACCGCCTACTGAGAACCGTTCTCGGTAGGCCCAGGGGTGAAATCAAGTAGGTCCAGTGTTCGAGTCCGGGCCTCGTCAATCTGCATTCTAATATTATTACATCTCCCTTCCCTCCCTCCCTCCCTCCCTCCCTCTCTCTCTCTCTCTCTCTCTCTCTCTCTCTCTCTCTCTCTCTCTCTCTCTC